GTGTTAGTGAATGGTGAGTGCTGTGTGTGCTGAGCGCAGTGCTGGGAGTGGTGTTAGTGAATGGTGAGTGCTGTGTGTGCTGAGCACAGTGCTGGGAGTGGTGTTAGTGAATGGTGAGTGCTGTGTGTGCTGTGCGCAGTGCTGGGGGTGGTGTTAGTGAATGGTGAGTGCTGTGAGTGTTGTGCGGAGTGCAGGGGGTGGTGTTAGTGAATGGTGAGTGCTGTTTTGTGCAGTGCGCAGTGCTGGTGGTGGTGTTAGTGAATGTTGAGTGCTGTGTGTGCTGAGCGCAGTGCTGGGGGTGGTGTTAGTGAATGGTGAGTGCTGTGTGTGCTGTGCGCAGTGCTGGGGGTGGTGTTAGTGAATGGTGAGTGCTGTGAGTGTTGTGCGGAGTGCAGGGGGTGGTGTTAGTGAATGGTGAGTGCTGTTTTGTGCAGTGCGCAGTGCTGGTGGTGGTGTTAGTGAATGGTGAGTGCTGTGTGTGCTGAGCGCAGTGCTGGGGGTGGTGTTAGTGAATGGTGAGTGCTGTGTGTGCTGAGCGCAGTGCTGGTGGTGGTGTTAGTGAATGGTGAGTGCTGTTTGTGCTGAGCGCAGTGCTGCGGGTGGTGTTAGTGAATGGTGAGTGCTGTATGTGCTGAGCGCAGTTCTGGGGGTGGTGTTAGTGAATTGTGAGTGCTGTATGTGCTGAGCGCAGTGCTAGTGGTGGTGTTAGGGAATGGTGAGTGCTTTGTGTGCTGTGCGCAGTGCTGGGGGTGGTGTTAGTGAATGGTGAGTGCTGTGAGTGTTGTGCGGAGTGCAGGGGGTGGTGTTAGTGAATGGTGAGTGCTGTTTTGTGCAGTGCGCAGTGCTGGTGGTGGTGTTAGTGAATGGTGAGTGCTGTATGTGCTGAGCGCAGTGCTAGTGGTGGTGTTAGGGAATGGTGAGTGCTTTGTGTGCTGTGCGCAGTGCTGGGGGTGGTGTTAGTGAATGGTGAGTGCTGTGTGTCCTGAGCGCAGTGCTGGGGGTGGTATTAGTGAATGGTGAGTGCTGTATGTGCTGAGCACAGTGCTGGGAGTTTTGTTAGTGAATGGTGAGTGCTGTATGTGCTGAGCTCAGTGCTGGGGGTGGTGTTAGTGAATGGTGAGTGCTGTATGTGCTGAGTGCCGTGCTGGGAGTGGTGTTAGTGAATGGTGAGTGCTGTATGTGCTGAGCGCAGTGCTGGGGGTGGTGTTAGTGAATGGTGAGTGCTGTATGTGCTGAGCACAGTGCTGGGGGTGGTGTTAGTGAATGGTGAGTGCTGTATGTGCTGAGCGCAGTGCTGGGGGTGGTGTTAGTGAATGGTGAGTGCTGTATGTGCTGTGCGCAGTGCTGGGGGTGGTGTTAGTGAATGGGCAGTGCTGTGCGCAGTGCTGGGAGTGGTGTTAGTGAATGGTGAGTGCTGTATGTGCTGAGCGCAGTGCAGGTGGTGGTGTTAGGGAATGGTGATTGCTGTGTGTGTTGTGCGCAGTGCTGGGGGTGGTGTTAGTGAATGGTGAGTGCTGTGTGTGCTGAGCGCAGTGCTGGGAGTGGTGTTAGTGAATGGTGAGTGCTGTGTGTGCTGTGCGCAGTGCTGGGGGTGGTATTAGTGAATGGTGAGTGCTGTATGTGCAGAGCGCAGTGCTGGGGGTGGTGTTAGTGAATGGTGAGTGCTGTATGTGCTGAGCACAGTGCTGGGAGTGGTGTTAGTGAATGGTGAGTGCTGTGTATGCTGTGCGCAGTGCTGGGGGTGGTGTTAGTGAATGGTGAGTGCTGTATGTGCTGAGCGCAGTGCTGGGAGTGGTGTTAGTGAATGGTGAGTGCTGTGTGTGCTGTGCGCAGTGCTGGGGGTGGTGTTAGTGAATGCTGAGTGCTGTGTGTGCTGTGCGCAGTGCTGGGGGTGGTGTTAGTGAATGGTGAGTGCTGTCAATGTTGTGCGGAGTGCAGGGGGTGGTGTTAGTGAATGGTGAGTGCTGTTTTGTGCAGTGTGCAGTGCTGGTGGTGGTGTTAGTGAATGGTGAGTGCTGTGTGTGCTGAGCGCAGTGCTGGGGGTGGTGTTAGTGAATGGTGAGTGCTGTTTGTGCTGAGCGCAGTGCTGGGGGTGGTGTTAGTGAATGGTGAGTGCTGTATGTGCTGAGCGCAGTGCTGGGGGTGGTGTTAGTGAATGGTGAGTGCTGTATGTGCTGAGCGCAGTGCTAGTGGTGGTGTTAGGGAATGGTGAGTGCTTTGTGTGCTGTGCGCAGTGCTGGGGGTGGTGTTAGTGAATGGTGAGTGCTGTGTGTGCTGTGCGCAGTGCTGGGGGTGGTGTTAGTGAATGGTGAGTGCTGTGAGTGTTGTGCGGAGTGCTGGGGGTGGTGTTAGTGAATGGTGAGTGCTGTATGTGCTGAGCACAGTGCTGGGGGTGGTGTTAGTGAATGGTGAGTGCTGTATGTGCTGAGCGCAGTGCTGGTGGTGGTGTTAGGGAATGGTGAGTGCTGTGTGTGTTGTGCGCAGTGCTGGGGGTGGTGTTAGTGAATGGTGAGTGCTGTGTGTGCTGAGCGCAGTGCTGGGAGTGGTGTTAGTGAATGGTGAGTGCTGTATGTGCTGAGCGCAGTGCTGGGAGTGGTGTTAGTGAATGGTGAGTGCTGTGTGTGCTGTGCGCAGTGCTGGGGGTGGTGTTAGTGAATGGTGAGTGCTGTATGTGCTGAGCGCAGTGCTGGGAGTGGTGTTAGTGAATGGTGAGTGCTGTGTGTGCTGTGCGCAGTGCTGGGGGTGGTGTTAGTGAATGCTGAGTGCTGTGTGTGCTGTGCGCAGTGCTGGGGGTGGTGTTAGTGAATGGTGAGTGCTGTATGTGCTGAGCGCAGTGCTGGGAGTGGTGTTAGTGAATGGTGAGTGCTGTGTGTGCTGTGCGCAGTGCTGGGGGTGGTGTTAGTGAATGCTGAGTGCTGTGTGTGCTGTGCGCAGTGCTGGGGGTGGTGTTAGTGAATGGTGAGTGCTGTCAATGTTGTGCGGAGTGCAGGGGGTGGTGTTAGTGAATGGTGAGTGCTGTTTTGTGCAGTGTGCAGTGCTGGTGGTGGTGTTAGTGAATGGTGAGTGCTGTGTGTGCTGAGCGCAGTGCTGGGGGTGGTATTAGTGAATGGTGAGTGCTGTTTGTGCTGAGCGCAGTGCTGGGGGTGGTGTTAGTGAATGGTGAGTGCTGTATGTGCTGAGCGCAGTGCTGGGGGTGGTGTTAGTGAATTGTGAGTGCTGTATGTGCTGAGCGCAGTGCTAGTGGTGGTGTTAGGGAATGGTGAGTGCTTTGTGTGCTGTGCGCAGTGCTGGGGGTGGTGTTAGTGAATGGTGAGTGCTGTGTGTGCTGTGCGCAGTGCTGGGGGTGGTGTTAGTGAATGGTGAGTGCTGTGAGTGTTGTGCGGAGTGCTGGGGGTGGTGTTAGTGAATGGTGAGTGCTGTATGTGCTGAGCACAGTGCTGGGGGTGGTGTTAGTGAATGGTGAGTGCTGTATGTGCTGAGCGCAGTGCTGGGGGTGGTGTTAGTGAATGGTGAGTGCTGTATGTGCTGTGCGCAGTGCTGGGGGTGGTGTTAGTGAATGGGCAGTGCTGTGCGCAGTGCTGGGAGTGGTGTTAGTGAATGGTGAGTGCTGTATGTGCTGAGCGCAGTGCTGGGGGTGGTGTTAGTGAATGGTGAGTGCTGTGTGTGTTGTGCGCAGTGCTGGGGGTGGTGTTAGTGAATGGTGAGTGCTGTGTGTGCTGAGCGCAGTGCTGGGAGTGGTGTTAGTGAATGGTGAGTGCTGTATGTGCTGAGCGCAGTGCTGGGAGTGGTGTTAGTGAATGGTGAGTGCTGTGTGTGCTGTGCGCAGTGCTGGGGGTGGTGTTAGTGAATGGTGAGTGCTGTATGTGCTGAGCGCAGTGCTGGGAGTGGTGTTAGTGAATGGTGAGTGCTGTGTGTGCTGTGCGCAGTGCTGGGGGTGGTGTTAGTGAATGCTGAGTGCTGTGTGTGCTGTGCGCAGTGCTGGGGGTGGTGTTAGTGAATGGTGAGTGCTGTGAGTGTTATGCGGAGTGCAGGGGGTGGTGTTAGTGAATGGTGAGTGCTGTTTTGTGCAGTGCGCAGTGCTGGTGGTGGTGTTAGTGAATGGTGAGTGCTGTGTGTGCTGTGCGCAGTGCTGGGGGTGGTATTAGTGAATGGTGAGTGCTGTATGTGCTGAGCGCAGTGCTGGGAGTGGTGTAAGTGAATAGTGAGTGCTGTGTGTGCTGTGCGCAGTGCTGGGGGTGGTGTTAGTGAATGGTGAGTGCTGTGTGTGCTGTGCGCAGTGCTGGTGGTGGTGTTAGTGAATGGTGAGTGCTGTGTGTCCTGAGCTCAGTGCTGGGGGTGGTATTAGTGAATGGTGAGTGCTGTATGTGCTGAGCACAGTGCTGGGAGTTGTGTTAGTGAATGGTGAGTGCTGTATGTGCTGAGCGCCATGCTGGGAGTGGTGTTAGTGAATGGTGAGTGCTGTATGTGCTGAGCGCAGTGCTGGGGGTGGTGTTAGTGAATGGTGAGTGCTGTATGTGCTGAGCGCAGTGCTGGGGATGGTGTTAGTGAATGGGGAGTGCTGTGCGCAGTGCTTGGGGGTGGTGTTAGTGAATGGGGAGTGCTGTGCGCAGTGCTGGGGGTGGTGTTAGTGAATGGTGAGTGCTGTGTGTGCTATGCGCAGTGCTGGGAGTGGTGTTAGTGAATGGTGAGTTCTGTATGTGCTTAGCGCAGTGCTTGGGGTGGTCTTAGTGAATGGGCAGTGCTGTGCGCAGTGCTGGGGGTGGTGTTAGTGAATGGTGAGTGCTGTGTGTGTTGTGCACAGTCCTGGGGGTGGTGTTAGTGAATGGTGAGTGCTGTGCGCAGTGCTTGGGGGTGGTGTTAGTGAATGGGCAGTGCTGTGCGCAGTGCTGAGGGTGGTGTTAGTGAATGGTGAGTGCAGCGTGTGCTGTGCACAGTGGGTGGTGTTAGTGAATGCTGAGTGCTGTGTGTGCTATGCTGAGTGCTGTGTGTGCTATGCGCAGTGCTGGGCGTGGCTCACAGGCTGCACGCGTGCTGTGGGAAAGGCATCGTGCTTCGGAGAGAGGGACGCTCGGCTCTACGCCTGCATGGTTATGCACACGGCCTGCTCTTCAGCGCTGCGGAACTACGCACCGGGGAGCTGTTTGAGGTGCGTCGTGTTGCGTATTCACACGAGTGCACTAAGGCCTGTAACATGAAATGCTAAATCCACCCTGTTGCCACCCTGGGCAGCAGGGTGACCCATTGGCAACACTGGTGCCTTACAGCAAGAATGCGCTGGGTTCAATTGCCGACTTGGGCGTCTATCGATACGACGTTTGTAAGTTCTCCCCCTGTTCTCCATGGGTTTCCTCTGAAATCTCTGGGTTTCCTCCCATAGCTGAAAAACACACAATGTAACAGGTCAAATAACCTGAAATGACTCAATTGGCATTACACACTGTAACACTGCCCCCGACTGCAAACACTTGGCAGGACCCACCTTACAATTAGTCTTTTGACTCGGTGAGGTTTTCTGGGATAAACAATCTTATATGTTATTGACATTCAAATTTGATAATGACAACAATATCCAGCGGTTATAGCACCGCACTATATGAACCCCATTGCCCTGAATGAGATTTTTGGCCACAGCAAATTCAGCGTTGAGTGATATCTGAACTCGTCTTGAGCCTCTTCTTTTACCAACCTGCATGAGCCAGTGTGGTGCAGTTTGGTATGGCCAAGGAAGTCGATCATTTCTATGTGTAAGCCTTATTGTGTACAGGAATCCATCGCCAACCGCAGACTTGTCAACTGCAGTTTCACGTACACAAGGTTAATTATTTGTATACCAAATTACCAACCGTGGCCTGGAAATGTGAGTATCCATGGGTAAGCACGGTGTTAAGAAAGTCGCATAACGTGTGTATTATTATATCATTGCATCACAGCATGACATTGTATATTGCGTGACGTCATTGTCTGCTGTTGTCATTCTATGAATCTAGAACACACGGGTCCTCGGTGGGCCTTATCTGGTCGGTCAAATAAAAATAGTTTATAGCTGAAATTCTTTGGGTCTTTTGGTAAAGTCACGTAGGTAGGTTGAAAGAAAATAACAAAAAAACTAAAAAATATTTTCTTTCAACCTATCTCTACGTGACTTTACCCGAAAGACCCAAAGATTATGAATCCCTGCAGTCACGAAAACTTTAAGTCAAGATTTATAGCTGATGTTGCAACACTCAACTGATTGCACTGGGAGCACCTGTGTGGATTTGCCGCACGTGAAGTTCGTGGCTGATGGTCGCGGGGGTGTGGGTGTGCACCGAGTGCAGGTGCAGGTGGACGATGTGAACGATCTGTGGGCAGGCACGCTGCACGCCGGCCTCACCTCTCTCTCCACCTCTGACCCCGCTCGACTAGCGCCCTCAGCTCTGCAGCTTCGGTGAGAGGCTGCTGCTCCTGCACCGAGGAGGAATTGTATGCATTATATTGTTCACATAATTTCTGTGCAACAAACTGAATAAGCAGACAACATGCTTTCTTCCCATATCTGTCACTCCGCAAGAAATATATATATACGAGTATTTTTTTTTACACATCCCATAAGCAGTATTGGTTCAACACAAGCAAACTCTGTACTGGTTTTAACATTTGGTGTCTCATCATCAGAGTCAGGCTGGCTTGATCCAATGCAAGGACCCTCACCAGCATTGTTTCAAGCAAGCGTGACTGTTGATGAGACACTGAATGTCAAAACCAGTCCAGAGTTTGCTTGTGTTGATCCAATGTTGCTGAAATTATGCACTTCCAGAAAGTCAGGCACGTGGTCGGTGGGGTGTGTCGAAAATACTTTTCATTTTTATGCAAAGGGATAGATATGTGATCAAGGCATAATTATATGCTTATTTACATTCTTCACCATAACACAAATGGTTAATTTTCATAAATGTTTGTGTGTCTGGTTTCCAGATCAAAGCTCACATGGCTGGTGGTGGGGTCGGAGGTGAGATGCAATGGAGTCACACAGAGGCAGAACTATGGCGCTACACTGGACAGACTGCGCGTAAGTGTGGCTTGTTTGTGGCCTGGTATAGACTCACTCGTAAAACTGTTGTATTGCCTTTCAGAGTGACATTTCGTTCGTGGGAATATTATTATATACTTTTTTCAGTGGTTTTCCTTTTGGAACAACACGTTTGCACAATTCTGATGAGACCCTATCTGTGTCAGGTGGGTAACAAGGTGTGTATGTGTCAGGCGGGTAGCAGGGTGTGTATGTGTCAGGTGTGTAATGGGGTGTGTGTGTGTCACGTGCGTAACTGTGTGTATGTGTCAGGTGAGTAACGGGGTGTGTAATGTGTCAGGTGGGTAACAGGATTTGTGTGTGTGTGTCAGGTGGGTAACAGGGTGTGTGTATGCGTGGCACGTGGGTAACAAGGTGTGTGTGTGTGCGTGGCACGTGGGTAACATGATGTGTGTGTGGCAGGTGATTAACAGGACGTGTGTGCGTGGCACGTGGGTAACAGGATGTGTGTGTGGCAGGTGATTAACAGGACGTGTGTGTGTCAGGTGGGTAACAGGGTGTGTGTATGTGTGTGGCAGGTGAGTAACAGGGTGTGTGTGTGTGGCAGGTGGGTAGCAGGGTGTGTGTGTGGCAGGTGAGTAACAGGGTGTGTGTGTGTGGCAGGTGGGTAGCAGGGTGTGTGTGTGGCAGGTGATTAACAGGACGAGTGTGTGGCAGGTGATTAACAGGACGTGTATGTGTCAGATGGGTAACAGAGTGTGTGTGTGCGTGGCACGTGGGTAACAAGGTGTGTGTGTGGCACGTGGGTAACAGGGTGTGTGTGTGCGTGGCACGTGGGTAACAGGGTGTGTGTGGCAGGTGATTAACAGGACGTGTGTGTCAGGTGGGTAACAGGGTGTGTGTGTGTGTGGCAGGTGGGTAGCAGGGTGTGTGTGTGGCAGGTGATTAACAGGACGTGTGTGTGTCAGGTGGGTAACAGAGTGTGTGTGTGTGTGGCACGTGGGTAACAAGGTGTGTGTGTGGCACGTGGGTAACAGGGTGTGTGTGTGTGCGTGGCACGTGGGTAACAGGGTGTGTGTGGCAGGTGATTAACAGGACGTGTGTGTGTCAGGTGGGTAACAGGGTGTGTGTGTGGCAGGTGGGTAGCAGGGTGTGTGTGTGGCAGGTGATTAACAGGACGTGTGTGTGTCAGGTGGGTAACAGGATGTGTGTGTGTCAGGTGGGTAACAGGGTTGGAGTGAAGCGCTGTCACGATGACACGATGCATCTCGTCATTGACGGCAAGGACATGGGGCCTGCAGCCACTGGTGTGCCAGCGGTGAGGCTGTGCGTGTGTCACCACACAACAATCGATACCTTCATAAAGGCATTTATTTCTGCTCTGGAAACCATATTCACAGATTGTAAATCAGTATGTGATCAGAGAATGTAATCATAAAATCATATTTAAGCACACCTCTCCAATGCATCTTTTGGTTGTACCACATGTTGTTCAGTTTGTCTGGCCTTCCTAAGATCCATCCTGAGTTTAACCAGGCTGGATTGAGGAGCTCATAGATACTTGATAGAGTTGGACATTTCCATCAGTGAACTCCTCCAGCAGGTGAGGCTGCATTGGCTAGTTCATGGAACCCGCATGCCCAACCACCACATGCCCTCGCAGTTTCTGTTTGGCCGTATAGAGGGGCTAAATGTACAGAGCACAGGCTAGAGAAGAGATGTGCCACTGAGGTATGGGACGATTTGGAGCTGAGCGGACTTGCCAATGACTGGAACCAGTGGTGTAAGAATTAGCCTCTGTGGAGGAGGTTATTTAAAAACGCTACTAGAGAGTTAGAGCCAATCGCCCTCCAACAACAATGAACGGTGAAGGAGCAACCTTCACAATCGCCAGTGTGCTGGGCTGCTAAAACGCAGCAAGTTGGCACAGTGGGGAGCACAGGTGGTGCATCTTCCAGTCATCTCAGGGGGTCAACCCGTAACAATGGCGGTTGTTGTACTGTTGTGTATGGGGAGCTGTGGTACAGTGGTTAACACACTCACATTGAACACAACCAATAACAGTGGCAAATATTTGATCCCATCCTGGGCCTCCCCTAGGTTAAGTCAGCCTTAAATGAGTAGCTGGTGCAGTGTGTAAAACATCAGTACAGGGGAGACAAAGGCTACCGTGCGTGGTGTTAGCCACTCACTCCCTCGTGTGCCGTGCCTGTATTCATCAGTGCTGCTTGCTAACAGCACCTATCCCAACGGTCTGTTAAAGGCTCCATGGGGGGTTTTTATCTGTGTGGGTGCTGTGACAGGGCGTGCACGCCGTGTTTGACCTGTACGGCACCGTGACATCGGTGACGGTCACCAGCACGGGCTGTGCCCTCGTGTGCGCCAGTCCAGAGAAGATCCCCAGCACCATCTCCGCTCTCCAGCCCACCCCGCCGGTCAGCAGCAACACCTCCTCCACAACACGTCTCTCCTTTATAAGTGAAGAATAATTAATACATTTCTACATTTGGTATTTGCGGCATTCTTACAGTACAAGGCTGTCGCGAAGAAGGCGTTATGTTTCACAGAAATTGTCTGCAGTAGTTTCGCTGTAGGGGCGATGTTCCAATCTGCAATCCCAATTCAATAATTTGCAGGTCATTTTCTAATTTGGCAAATCTGGACAATGATGCTGGCACACATTGGCTTACTCTTTTTGAACGACCTCGCTGGATCTGCAACGTCCTAACCTACAAAGCAATGCATGGCTTGGCCCCTTTCTACCTGCAAAACCACATCTCTCCCCAAACCTCAGGCACACACACACTCCATTTCATGAGAACGACATAACTTAACCAGCCCAGGATTTTTTCACCCGACGCTGGGGGGACGAAACCTTCTCGAGCGCAGCATTCTGACCACAAATCTTGTGGTTAATGCAGACATTATTCCTTGTAAAAGGTTTCAGTTTGGTGTTTTAACATCTTAACACCTGTTTTGTTGTCAGAAAAAAGGGGAAAACCTATTCTGATGTTTATTTTCTTATTTATTTTTATTAACTACTTGCTTTCCGTATGCTATTGGTTGCGCGTAGTTGTAATTTGCTCAGTCGGTGTTAGCCGCTGAGGGCGTCACGGATTTATTTTATAATTCCTGTTGCCGTATGGCCCCTGTACCGTTCCTGATTTACTGTAATGTGCACTGATGGCTACTTTATTAAGCATGATATTGGCATGTAAAATAAAGCTTGCTTCATTGACTGTGAAGCAGACGGCGCCTAGTATTTTACAATTAAAACACCTGCAGTAATAACCAGGGCAGCCTGCACCATTTGGACTGTGAACCCCTGAAACAAGCGGCGACCGCAATGCCGTGTCAATGCCCCCTGGCCACGAGGTCCCTGGCCGTGTGAAACGAAGTCACGAGCTGCAGGCTGCCCTCCCCTTCTTTCGATGATCTCTGCTCCCTTTTCTGGGTCCACCTTCCCTGCATCCACCCTAGGAATTGGCTTGCTCCGCGTGGGAGTCGCCCGTGTTTGTGGACGGGAGGAACCTGCTGCTGTCCAACCACAACCGCACGGCAACGCGCCGGGACGGCTGCTCGCAGGCGGTGGCCAGGACGGCGCACGTGCTGCCCCGCCAGTGCCTGCTGCAGGTACGGCAGCCTCCGCGTCTATCCCGCTCACTCGCGTGTGCCTTGCCCGCACGTGTCTCACCCGCGCGTGTTGTGTCTCTCGCATCAACAAGATTATTCACAGAAATGATGCTGTGCGCCTTCGTTAATCCCCTCTTGTCGTCGCTGTTGGCATGTGTACAGGTGTGTGTAGACCGCCTGTCTCACGAGTGGTCAGGCTCGCTGTGTTTGGGATTGGAAAGTGTCAGTGAGGGCCACTCTCCGACGGCGCACACCCCGACGGCGCGAACCCCCTTGGCGCGCAGCCCCGCAACGCCGCCCTCCTCAATCGTGCAAGGGGGCCAGCAGCAGAGCTGGCTGATCCGCGGCCGTGCTGTCTACCACAACTCCACCAAGGTGCGGCCCGCGTGCTGCCACCGCCACTGCCTCGCCTGGGGCTTCTCCCCTTCTCGCTCAGTTAGACCTGAATGTGGCGTGTAAGGCGGCCGTTTTGTATGAATCTGTAGTTGGGGCGGCAGGTGGTGTCACAGCATTAACGCTCGTCCCTCACAGCAAGAAGGGCCTGTGCTCGATTCCCGACTCGGGTGCCTTTCTGCGTGGAATTTGAGTTTAACACCTGTATTTTTTGCCGGCTATTTTTTTCACCATCTTGATACTGGCAAAAAGGGTCCCATAAGTATGATAACGAGTAGTGCTGTTGTGCAAGTGATTACATCCAAAGATAAACAAAGAATTAAAGTAAAATGTAACTAAAGAAGAGCCAGTGATTTAAAATGATCTTTGAGGCATTGCTCATCTCCCGTTTACAGTCCTGAGCCAGTGGTGAAATTCCACATTTGTATCTTCCTCCAAAGTGGTACTCATATCAACTCCGGAGGGTTGATGGGCTGAGTCAACCCCCAGCCAAGATTTTAACTTGCATTTTCTAAATGTGAGCCTCTCACTCAGCTGCTGAGCGACAGGAAGTGTAAATCGCAATGTGAGAAGCTGTTTGGAAATCATTATGATTATTTAGAGTTTGTAACGTATACAGTTTTCATTCACTCGAGAGAGCGAGAGTGATACAGGTGCACGGGTATCCACAGACAAGTGGGAAAGCAGCCAAAATTGTCGCCAACAATTGCCTAAGCTCTGTCGCCCTATAATTGGTATATTTGGCCAACTCCAAATTTTTATACATTCTGGAGGAAACGAGGAGTACCCGGAGAAAACGCACACGTGCCAAGGGAATACAAATGAAAAGGAACCCACTTCCTCTCCTACCTTCATACCCTTGGAAGCCAGGAGATGGCGACCTCGATGCCTGCGGATAGGAAGGGAGTTTCACGGACGTGTGCCACCCACGTGTGCGCTCACCACCGCCTCCACAGCGCAAGGTTACGGGCGCAGCACGACGGCCGGGTACCACCTGGCAAACGCGCCGCCGCTGTCTCCGTCCGTCCCTCAGATCCGGGACGGCTACGGGCCGGGCCTCGACTCGTTGGCGGAGGGCACGCGCGTCGGCCTGCTCGTCGACACGCTTGGAGCGTTGCACCTGTACGTGAACGGCGTCGACCAGGGAGCGTGTGCCGCCCACGTCCCCGTGAACACCCGCGTCGCCGTGCACCTCTATGGGTGCTGCCTGAAGGTGCTCGGGTACCGCCAGGGGCGGGCTCGTCGTCTTTGTCGTCGTTGTTGTCGCTATCACACGTTCGTTTGCCCAGGAAGGCCTCACTCACTATACGGAGGGTCGTATAAAGTTTTGTCGCAGTAGTGGGAGATGTTGCTGTGAGTAATTTGCAGGTCATTTTTCAGCATTGGGATGTTTGACCGATACCAGTTACATTGTATATATTTATCTATGGGTGGAAACTGGAGAACCTGGAGAAAACACATACAGAACAGGGGGAGAACTTAAAAAAACAGCACACAGAAAAGCACCCGAGTCGGGAATCTAACCTAGGAACCTTCTTGGTGTGAGGCACCAGTGTTACCACTGCGCCATCACCCTGCCACCGGATAGCTAATGCCTCATTCCTTCATATTGTCCATGAGCACTGTTGTTGTGTTCTCAGGTTACCCTGGTGACGGACGAGGGTGCGTGCGGGGAGGAAAGCTGTGAAGACAGAGAGAAAGCCGACATGGTGGACGGTAAGAAATCGCATGCAGCAAAATAACAGGCAATGGCTCCTATGGATCTCAGTGTTGTTAGCACGCGTATGCTGTCATGTGTAAAATGTGTGTATTTATAAGCCATAAACAGCACAACTACATTTATTGCATCCCATGAAATGGCTATGTAAATGATAGCTGTGCCAAAATCTATACATGCATTGGGCCCAGTGAGTTTAAGTGCAAGTCATGCATCTGATAGTCTTCTCAGTTAACTTATAACACCTGGGTCGTGCCATGACATCCCGCACGCGAGCTCTTCAATACTTTACTTGACCTCACAGTGCTCCTAGCCTGGCACGGGCGCCGTGCGGTTGTGCGTCTTGCTTGAGACCTGACGCGATGGCCATGTGGCTGCTTTGTGGTGAGACAGGCTTGAAGGAAGGCGTTTTGAGACCTCCAGCGTGTGTTGACGGAAGCGTCCTCCGAGCCGTCTGCGATTACCAGGCAGTTTGCGTGCGGTTCAGGGACCTCCTAGCTCTCCCAGGTAATGGCCACTCACACGCACATCTGCCGCACGTAGCGGGTAAAGGCACAGCTCTGAAATTGCTTGCTCACGCCATTGCTGACAACAGGGCCTCCACCGGGACGGATACTAAGAGGGTATTTGGTCTATTCTTCCCCCTCGTTAACCAAACGTGTTGGAAAAGGTTGGCATACCCACATTTTATCCCACCGCACGTGACTTGCCGATTACAGACTAACTGTGGTGAACTGGTTTTTGCTGCTGGGTGGACAGAGGCGATGCGGAGGATTTGAGAAACTTTCACCGTTGTTTCAACTGCCGCGCCAGGCGATGGAATCGAACCTTCAAAGTCTTGTGCGCTCACCATTCCACCACAGCAGTGCAAAACCAGATTAAATACAACACCCTCTTTTGTGAAGTGGGTGGTTGACAGGGCTGAGACCGTGGGCTCGCTCCATTGGCAATCCGGTTTTAGTCACTGGTAACCACCTGCGATTGAAACCGGATCACAGCGGCGTCAGCTCAGCTGTCTGACCTCTAAGCCCACTCGGCCTCCACTGGTTTCAGTGTTTGTTAACATCTTTAGTGCCTTGTTCAATAGAACCTTTAACATTACAATCTTACATTTAAATTCTCTTTGCTCTTTTAAACTTTTATGAAATTATTATTTTATTATTTTATTTTTTTCATTCTTTACCTTAAACCAAGTATGTTTATCACAAACCTCCTTTTTCTGCATTTAAAGCGTATTGTGGATTGTATTTGTAATCTGATATGAGGACAGTGCCATCTGCACATCTACCAACAGTCATGGCCAAACGTTAATGAAGCCTTATTCCTCTTTCACTGCTTGCTCGTGACTCGAGTAATAAACACAGTGCCGATGACAGCATGGAACCTCGTCTTTCACCTCTTCACTTTCATCCATTCAATCGCCTGTTTATCTTCCAGATGTTCATGTTTCTGCAGGTCTGTCTCTACTTAAAAATGCAGAAAACTGTTCTTTCCATAATAGAGGTTTTTTGGGTTAGATCGGGTAAATATATAAACGTGTCGTTAAACCCGCCACCACCCGACACAGCCAACTAGTAAAAGGTTGTCACGTAAACAGAACGTGGTCAATTCGTCACTAGTACAGGACACCGGTGTGTTGGAGAGCCAAGCCACATTTACAATCTGAGTTCAACGTCTCGCCAGTAATTACAACTAGCTTCATCAGGCGGCAGCCAGATTTGTGGAGAAGTCCACCTGTTTCGTTCCTTATATGGAGGCGTAGATGTGGTGACCACACTTCTTGCACAAAGTGGGGGGGGGGGGGATTAACGAGTCAACGTACATTATTATTCGCATTATGCGAGCCGTACCAATGGTAATCCATATTGAAGTATGGTGTCCTTTATAGGCATGCATTTAAACAATGTATTATTTGATGATTCGCTTCCAGGCACCACTAAGGCGGTAGCTCTCTGAACGGGCAGAATTATTTTTATTTCTTTCAATTTAGATAGATTCTCGAATTAGTCTTGGCCAGTAGTAGCTAGTTTTGCACAGAACTTCAACATTATCAATATCAATTTAGTGTCCTTGTTGGCACGGGTGTTCTGCTACTGCTGACAGTTGTATTTGGGAGTATTTAATATTTCTCTTTTGTTTTTTAGTCTTGCACTGTTCTTTAACAATCACGTCTTTTCCCTCATTATTTCAATCATTGTCTTAAAAAAAAACCTCCATTGTATGACATTGCTGTGTGTGTGTCGCCGTGCTTCTGTGTGTGGCCGTGCTTCTGTGTGTGGCCGTGCTTCTGTGTGTGGCCGTGCTGTGTATGTGGGGCCGTGCTGTGTGTGGCCGTGCTGTGTGTGGCCGTGCTGTACGTCCGTGCTGTGTGTGTGGCCGTGTTGTGTGTGTGTTGCCATGCTGTGTGTGTGTGTGGTCGTGCTGTGTGTGTGTGTGGTCGTGTTGTGTGTGTGTGGCCGTGCTGTGTGTGTGTGGCCGTGCTGTGTGTGTGTGGCCGTGCTGTGTGTGTGTGGCCCTGCTGTGTGTGTGGCCCTGCTGTGTGTGTGGCCCTTCTGTGTGTGTGGCCGTGCTGTGTGTGTGGCCGCGCTGCGAGCCGACCCATGCGGTGCTGTATGTGTGTGGCTGACACACAGGAGGCTTCTTCACGCCGTGCGTGTCGTGCTTCTGCGCGTCATGTTGCCACCTACGTGACGATGAAGCGTACCGCACGAGGGGAGAGCCACCGCGGGACTACAGCCTGCCTCTCGGATGGGTACACTTCACCCTCCGGTGAGTCCTGCATGTGCCAGCCGAGCGTGTCGTCAGCCTCCGCTTCGTGGAGGGGTCGCTGCTTCTGCTCAACTGCCCCTGCTGTGTGGAAATCCCTCCGTCCTGATATCCGTGATATTGAGTTGAGACATTTCCACTTTATTTTTTCCTCATGATCGAGTGCGATTAGCTCAGATGGTAGAGTGCTCGCGAAGCATGCGAGAGGCGGTGAGGTCTATGCCCGCATCCAGCACGTTGGGGCAGTCAGTGGCGGCAATGCGTTCGCCACTTGTTGCAGAGGTTAGAGGTTAGCAACCGGCAGGCCACCTTGGTTAATCCTGCCAGCATATTATCCATAAATTACTCGCCTCCTGCTGCACAGTGGGCGAACAATATCGCTTGACATCATTTGAAATGAGAAAGGCCATTGTGTGTTGGCGCCATTGTCCACATTTTCTACATTTGAAAAATTCCCACAAGTGATTCGATTGGGACAACACACAGCAACATCGCCCCCCGACTGTGACACTACTGCAGACTATGTGAAACATGGTGCCTTTGTGATAACCTTGCGCTTTAAGAAATGCCGCGACTACCAAATTACAAGATTATTATTACGTGGACTGTTCACCCAGATAGGTGCTCGGTAACAGCACTTTTCCTAAAAGTCTATTGGGGCTATAAGGGTGATCTTTGTCTTGTCAGGCTTTACACACTCTCTGTCGACCCATATAGCGTCGCCTTTACAATAGATGTGCCGTGTTGTTCTCTATATGTGAGACTCAGAAGAAAAAATTGCTGAAGTGGTCTCTGTATATTAGAACTGAGTTTAAAGCTCTAACTATAAATTATGAATATTAATTGTAACTATTATGATGCAATTAAATTTTTTAGTTGCACTAGCCATGGTGATCCTCATTTAAAAAATATTGAAGTTAACATCTCAACCATAAACACCTTTATTTTAACTTGTATGCAGGTGTTACATGCTTGGTATGATCATATTTATAGTCTATGCTTGTGTCCTCAGTGGTCTATGTGGGTACTCGGGTATGCGCACATTAGAGTGATATTCTGCTCTTATGAGCGTTGCGGCATTGGTGCTCATTTTTACAGCCCTGAGCCTGTGGTTAAGATTCCACAATCCTATGGCAGGAGCAAGGCTATCCATAGAACAATGACTGTTGACTTCTCCAAAAGTGATACTTATTTGATCGACTCCGGAGGGATGATGGGCTGTATGTATGTACAGTGAGGGAAAAAAGTATTTGATCCCCTGCTGATTTTGTACGTTTGCCCACTGACAAAGAAATGATCAGTCTATAATTTTAATGGTAGGTTTATTTGAACAGTGAGAGACAGAATAACAACAACAAAATCCATAAAAACGCATGTCAAAAATGTTATAAATTGATTTGCATTTTAATGAGGGAAATAAGTATTTGACCCCTCTGCAAAACATGACTTAGTACTTGGTGGCAAAACCCTTGTTGACAATCACAGAGGTCAGACGTTTCTTGTAGTTGGCCACCAGGTTTGCACACATCTCAGGAGGGATTTTGTCCCACTCCTCTTTGCAGATCTTCTCCAAGTCATTAAGGTTTCAAGGCTGACGTTTGGCAACTCGAACCTTCAGCTCCCTCCACAGATTTTCTATGGGATTAAGGTCTGGAGACTGGCTAGGCCACTCCAGGACCTTAATGTGCTTCTTCTTGAGCCACTCCTTTGTTGCCTTGGCCGTGTGTTTTGGGTCATTGTCATGCTGGAATACCCATCCACGACCCATTTTCAATGCCCTGGCTGAGGGAAGGAGGTTTTCACCCAAGATTTGACGGTACATGGCCCCGTCCATCGCCCCTTTGATGCGGTGAAGTTGTCCTGTCCCCTTAGCAGAAAAACACCCCTAAAGCATAATGTTTCCACTTCCATATTTGACGGTGGAGATGGTGTTCTTGGGGTCATAGGCAGCATTCCTCCTCTTCCAAACACGGCGAGTTGAGTTGATGCCAAAGAGCTCCATTTTGGTCTCATCTGATCACAACACTTTCACCCAGTTGTCCTCTGAATCATTCAGATGTTCATTGGCAAACTTCAGACGGGCATGTATATGTGCTTTCTTGAGCAGGGGGACCTTGCGGACGCTGCATGATTTCAGTCCTTCACGGCGTAGTGTGTTACCAATTGTTTTCTTGGTGACTATGGTCCCAGCTGCCTTGAGATCATTGTCAAGATCCTCCCGTGTAGTTCTGGGCTGATTCCTCACCGTTCTCATGATCATTGCAACTCCACGAGGTGAGATCTTGCATTGAGCCCCAGGCCGAGGGAGATTGACAGTTCTTTTGTGTTTCTACCATTTGCGAATAATCGCACCAACTGTTGTCACCTTACTCTTTGTTTTTTTTCAGTAAAGTCACGTTGGTAGAATAAAATAATATAATAATAAAACAACTAAATCAAATCACGACGTTTCGGAGGCAACACAAGCTTCCGTCTTCAGGTGGAACAGTGACAGCAAGATAGCTGCATCAAGTGAGGAGCTCTGAGACACCCGAGATTATATACAGGTTAAGGGGGGTGGAGGAGCCAGGAAGGGAATGATGATGAGGTGGAGGGCTAAGTTAAGCCGCCTTTTGTTATGCTGAGGGTTCGGGGGATGCGGTGGTTCACTGCACGAGAGCAATGGAAAAGGCTGTACACTTATAAGGCAGCTAAAGTTTGACTTGGTTTATGACATCTTTTTTTTATTGGTTCACTATATAGTATTCATTATATATTGTATTGTATACCCAGTTACTGTGAATAGCTCAGATGTGTAGGCCTTGACTTCAACATAGCCATTTCTGTGACCAGTCACTAGCTAATCACTCAGTTATTTCAATGCTAAATTCGCCTAGTTATTTCAATGCTAAATTCTCCTGTTTGATTTGTACTAGGTGCCTCGGTGAATGTGTATGCTCTGACTTTAACATAGCTATTTCTGTGACCAGTTACAAGCTAATCACTCAGCTATTTCAATGCTAAATTCTATGCTAATTCCTTTGTCAAGGGGTGCCTCTGCGGATATGTATGCTTTAACTTAGCTATTTCAATGCTAAATTCTATGCTAATTCCTTTGTCAAGGGGTGCCTCTGCGGATGTGTATGCTTTAACTTAGCTATTTCAATGCTAAATTCTATGCTAATTCCTTTGTCAAGGGGTGCCTCTGCGGATGTGTATGCTTTAACTTTAACATAGCCATTTCTGTGACCAGTCACAAGCTAATCACTCAGCCATTTCAATGCTAAATTATATGCTAATTCCTTTGTCAAGGCGCTTTGCTTCTTCTCACAGCTTAAAGGTCGTGATCTCAGCGTGGCTTTTTCACTCCAGCGCTGTCCTACCAGACAGTCTCGTCCCTTCACCTGATGAAGGCCGCTTGTGTTGTGGCCGAAACGTCTTGGAATATTATTGTGTTATTTTATTTGATCAATTTATTATTTTATTCTCATTCTACGTGACTTTACCGAAAGAACCAAAGAAGATATTTCCAGTGGTTGCTCAATTTAAAAGCATCCTCTCGGTTGAAGTTGTGTCTATGTTTGTATATCTGGATGGCTTCATGGACAAATCTTTGGTAATAACTGGGAGGTTTGCATGGTACTTTTGGTATCGGAGAAAACAATCTCGTGAGAACCCGCTGTGTTGAGACAATGATCAGCTACGGCCGAAGAATTCGTTCTGCCATGTTTCAAATCTGATTTGTGCTCGCGAATTCGGTCAGAAATATGTCGTTTTGTCTCCCCGATATAGCAGTCACCGCAGGTACAACTCAATTTGTAAACACCGGGGTACTGTAAGTCAGGAATGACATCCTTTACGAATGGGATCAGATCACGGATTTTGTGTACTGTATTGAACCGAACCTGGATCTTGTGTTTGTTTAAAATTTTGGAAATCTTTTTGGTAACACCTGCTATGTATGGCAGTGTGATGATTTTGATCGGAGTATCAGGTGGTTGTTTCTGTATGGTGGGAGAAACAGCTTGGCGGATAGTATGGTCAGAGTAACCGTTCATCTTGGGGGCCAGATGTACATGTTTTAATTCACTGGCCAGGTGGTGTTGGTCAGAAATGCAATGAGCCCTATGGTATAATGTTTTGATGAGATAATTATGTTGAGGCGGGTGGTGGTGGGAATCAGGCTTCAAGTAGGAATCTGTGTAGGTGGACTTCCTGTAAAAAGAATGTCCCAAAGAGCCATCAGTCCTCCTCTCAAACAGAACATCCAAGAATGGCAGCTTGCCATCTTTCTCCACTTCCATGGTGAATTTGATGGATGGGTGTCTGGAATTGATGTGGTCTAGGAAATGGTTCAAAGCTGGGAGGCCATGTGGCCAAATGACGAAAGTGTCATCCAGATATCTCTTCCACAGGGAAGGACGAAGGGTGGATGTCTGGATGGCGTCTGATTCATATTTCTTCATGAAAACATTGGTTATCACTGGTGACAAGGGGGAACCCATAGGGGTACCCTCATTTTTTTGTAGAAGGTACCATTCCAGGTAAAGTAAGTGTTGGTGAGGCAGTGCCTAACCAGCGCAGGTACATCAGGGTTCAGTCTATGTTGGACCAAATCTTCAATTATTATGGTATCAGGCACTGGGACCTTGGTGAACAGCGAGACCACATCAAAGCTGACGAGGATATCGTCAGGAGATAGTACAATGTCCTTGACCATAGAAAACAATTGGGTTCAGTTAAGTACTGCAGAGGTGGTCTTGCCAGTTGTCACCTTCTCACCAAGCTCCTTGGCAATGTGCTTGTAGCCCATTCCATCCTTGTGTAGGTCTACAATCTTGTCCCTGACATCCTTAGAGAGCTCTTTGGTCTTGGCCATGGTGGAGAGTTTGGAATCTCATTTATTGATTGCTTCTGTGGACAGGTGTCTTTTATACAGGTAACGAGCTGAGATTAGGAGCACACTCTTAAAGAGAGTGCTTCTAATCTCAGCTTGTTACCTGTATAAAAGACACATGGGAGCCAGAAATATTTTTTATTGAGTGGGGGTTAAATGCTTATTTCCCTCATTAAAATGCAAATCAATTTATAACATTTTTGACATGCATTTTTCAGGATGTTGTTCTTATTCTGTCTTTCACTGTTCAAATAAAGCTACCATTAAAATTATAGATTGATCATTTCTTTGTAAGTAGGCAAACGTCCAAAATCAGCAGGGGATCAAATTCTTTTTTCCCTCACTGTATGTTAAACTTCTTTCGCACCCTACACAGCTAACCATGCCAAGTCATTGTTGGCTATGTGTCTGACACCTTCCATGTTTCCTGTTGAATGTGTCAGGACGAATCCCCGTAGCGACGCGACCTTCCTCAAGCGGTGGCACGTAGCCTATCATGGGGCCAACATAGGTGATGTTCGGCGCTCACTCGACCACGGAGAGCTGTGTGCAGGTTCGCTGCACTACTGTGCACACATACCACTCACAACACGTACCCTGCACCCACACACACCACTCACAACAATACCCTGCACGCACTCACGAAATGCACCATGCACTCACACACCCCACTCAGAACATGTACCCTGCACTGAAACACCACTCTCAACACGTACCTTGCACTCACACACGCCACTCACACATCCCACTCACAACAGGTACCCTGCATTCACACACCACTCACAACACGTACCCTGCACTCAAACACCACTCACAACACGTACCCTTCCACTCACACCACTCACAACAGGTACCCTGCACTCACACACCACTCACAACACGTACCCTGCAGTCACACACACCACTCACAACACGTACCCTGCACTCACACACACCACTCACACACACCACTCACAACACATACCCTGCAGTCACACACACCACTCACAACACGTACCCTGCACTCACACACACCACTCACAACACGTACCCTGCACTCACACACACCACTCACAACACGTACCCTGCAGTGCACTCACACCACTCGCACCACGTACCCTGCAGTCCACAAACCACACACACCACTCACAACACGTACCCTGCACTCACACACACCACTCACACACACCACTCACAACACGTACCCTGCAGTCACACACACCACTCACACACACCACTCACAACACGTACCCTGCAGTGCACTCACACATACCACTCACAACACGTACCCTGCAGTGAACACACACATCACTCACAACACGTACGCTGTGGTCCACACACTCACACACACCACTCACAACATATACAGTGAGGGAAAAAAGTATTTGATCCCCTGATGATTTTGTACGTTTGCCCACTGACAAAGAAATAATCAGTCTATAATTTTAATGGTAGGTTTATTTGAACAGTGAGAGACAGAATAACAACAACAAAAATCCATAAAAACGCATGTCAAAAATGTTATAAATTAAGGTGCATTTGAATGAGGGAAATAAGTATTTGACCCCTCTGTAAAACATGACTTGGTACTTGGTGGCAAAACCCTTGTTGGCAATCACAGAGGTCAGACGTTTATTGTAGTTGGCCATCAGGTTTGCACACATCTCAGGAGGGATTTTGTCCCACTCCTCTTTGCAGATCTTCTTCAAGTCATTGAGGTTTCAAGGCTGACGTTTGGCAACTCGAACCTTCAGCTCCCTCCACAGATTTTCTATGGGATTAAGGTCTGGAGACTGGCTAGGCCACTCCAGGACCTTAATGTGCTTCTTCTTGAGCCACTCCTTTGTTGCCTTGGCCGTATGTTTTGGGTCATTGTCATGCTGGAATACCCATCCACGACCCATTTTCAATGCCCTGGCTGAGGGAAGGAGGTTATCACCCAAGATTTGACGGTACATGGCCCCGTCCATCGTCCCTTTGATGCGGTGAAGTTGTCCTGTCCCCTTAGCAGAAAAACACCCCCAAAGCATAATGTTTCCACCTCCATGTTTGACGGTGGGGATGGTGTTCTTGGGGTCATAGGCAGCATTCCTCCTCCTCCAAACACGGCGAGTTGAGTTGATGCCAAAGAGCTCCATTTTGGTCTCATCTGACCACAACACTTTCACCCAGTTGTCCTCTGAAGCATTCAGATGTTCATTGGCAAACTTCAGACGGGCATGTATATGTGCTTTCTTGAGCAGGGGGACCTTGCGGACGCTGCAGGATTTCAGTCCTTCACGGCGTAGTGTGTTACCAATTGTTTTCTTGGTGACTATGGTCCCAGCTGCCTTGAGATCATTGTCAAGATCCTCCCGTGTAGTTCTGGGCTGATTCCTCACCGTTCTCATGATCATTGCAACTCCACGAGGTGAGATCTTGCATGGAGCCCCAGGCCGAGGGAGATTGACAGTTCTTTTGTGTTTCTTCCATTTGCGAATAATCGCACCAACTTGTCACTTTCTCACCAAGCTGCTTGGCAATGGTCTTGTAGCCCATTCCAGCCTTGTGTAGGTCTACAATCTTGTCCCTGACATCCTTGGAGAACTCTTTGGTCTTGGCCATGGTGGAGAGTTTGGAATATGATTGATTGATTGATTGCTTCTGTGGACAGGTGTCTTTTATACAGGTAACAAGCTGAGATTAGGAGCACTCCCTTTAAGAGTGTGCTCCTAGTCTCAGCTTGTTACCTGTATTAAAGACACCTGGGAGCCAGAAATCTTTCTGATTGAGAGGAGGTCAAATACTTATTTCCCTCATTAAAATGCAAATCAATTTATAACATTTTTGACATGGGTTTTTCTGGATTTTTTTGTTGTTATTCTGTTTCTCACTGTTCAAATAAACCTACCATTAAAATTATAGACTGATAATTTCTTTGTCAGTGGGCAAACGTACAAAATCAGCAGGGGATCAAATACTTTTTTCCCTCACTGTACCCTTGAGTGAACACACTCTACTCACAACACGTACCCTGCAGTGCACACACTCTAACACACCACTCAACACTTATCCTGCTCACAAAACTCACCACGCTCACTGTCACACTCAGTACTAAACTGGGACTGCAGGTCACATGACATGTATTAGCAGCATTGAATTGCAGCCCGCAAGCCTGCATTGCTTCTCACAGTGTGAGTTGAATTTTTTCTCTTAAGTTCAAATGTAGAGAGATCCCACAAAGAAACTCGTGATGCGCAGGGACGGTCTATCTACCTACGCTCTTTGAAGACCTCACTCTCCACGTACGGTTTGTGTGTGTGTCGTGCGTCTGTATCCAGCCTTACAGCCCTGCGATTGTGTCCCATCTTTTCCCCCCCAGCTTCAAAATGCCCCCTCTTTGCACAGAAAACGAAGGCAGATGAAAGTGGTGCGCACACGGCCGCTGAAGGCCAGGCTTCGGGCCAGGGTGACGTCGTGACGGGGTTGCTCACGGCGGCCGTGCGACTGTCTCCATCTCTCCCGCATGCGAGCCGCGACTGCTGCTACATCACGTGCGTTGCTCTGTGCGTTTAGACCAGGGGTGGGGAACCTTTTTTTCTGCCAAGGGCCATTTGGATATTTCTAACATCATTCTCGGGCCATAAAAAATTAAATTTATGTTGCTATGAAAAAAAACGCCTAGATTGATTGAATTTCGAGTCGTGCGGTTGCCTTGGCAGGTCCAGACCTAATTATTTCACGGGCCGGACGTTCCCCACCCTGGTTTAGACGGTCGTACGTGCGTGTGTAGTGATGGGAGCAGTATTGTAGTAGCTGTTTGCGCTATGCTGCGCTACAAAGCTGCGACCCGAGTTAAATTCCCATTCACGACCAACACCAGCGACAATTGTTTAAACTAGTCAGGGGCCTCCCCTCGGTTGACTCAGCCTCAAATGAGTACCTGGTGCGGTGTGTAAACATCACCACCAGGGAGACCAAGGCTGTCGGGCGTGGTACTGGCCACCCATCCCCTCGTGTGCCATGCTTGCCTTCAGAGGTGTTCGATAACAGCACTTTCCCCAACAGTCTTAAGGCTATATGGGGGATCTTTGTCTTTGTGTACGAGGCGGTGACGTGGCCTAGCAGGAGCTTATTTGCCACTTGTTGCCCGGCGGTCGCCGTGGTTTTTACCACGGGTGTACTAGCTGTTGCATACCACATGCTGTCTGCTTCACATTGGACGTTAAAATCCCGTTCTGTCATTCCTAGAATAGTAGGCCATTGTGTGTTGGTGTCATGGTTCAGATTTTTTTAAGTTTAAAAAGTTACCTTCAAATTACTCAATTGGGATTCTACCTTAGCCTCTAACTCTGGTTTGCATTGCCTATAACTGCACAAATATATAAAAAAAAAAATTCTGCACTTATAGGAACGTCTCGAGTAATAAGAATAACAATACACCCTGCTACGTGAGAAACGATTGTAATTTAAGTTTCTCAAATCAACCCACCTCTCTCCACTCGCCACAGTCGAAACAGCAGGTCGCTTGTGGTGGGGTAAAGTGTGGGTACACCCATCTCTTCCTAATAAAATCCACTGGAAACGTTTACTGGTCCTTGACTTTAGGCACCAGTATTCGATTCTCAAACAGGTTATCATTTAACGACCTTACTCCCTTTGCCAATTCTCCTCCCTTCGCTTCAGCCTCATCCGCACGGCATTGCCTTTCTCTCTCTAGGTTCCGCGACCCCAAGACTCAGGGCATGCACGGGGCTCAGGTGGCTTTCCAGGTGTGCGTTCGGCCCGGAGCTTACAAGTACAGCGCTCACCCGGCCGTGAACACGGGACACGCCGCACACCCCTTGCAGCCCGCACGCAGCGCGCACGCGTTGACGAACACGTACCCGCCGCACACACAGTCCGCCGCCGCGCACTCGAACATACACGCGCCCGACACGCGCTTCCCCAGCTCGGAGATCGAGTGGTTCACCAAAGAGAGGGGCTCCACCATCATCACAGCCTTGCTCATTCGTGTGGAGTGACCGTTGTACGGACGACAGTTGTGCAGCGTGATTGATGCTGCCACGACCGCGCGATTTCCGAACAAACGCGTAAAAGACACAGCGGTGTTGTTCTTCTCGGAGCCATGCGATTGTCCTGAAGCAGCTGTGCTCAGTCGACTGTGGTGACTGGCGATGATGGAATTAAGTGACGCTGAAAATAGCAGGAAGCAACTCGTTTACAGCATGGTGCAATAGCGAATGTTTCACCTGTAGTTACCTTCCTAGAGGCACCAGCCTGTAGATTTGTGTACAGTTAATGACCCAGATATTTCTGCCATATGTGTAACACCACTGATGTCTACGGAATTTTTCTGTTTAATACTCGGAGTCAAAAGCTCCCCATGAAACTTGCTAGTATTTATTTAGCCTAATAGCAATATTAGTTTAACGGGGCAGTATAGCAGTTGCAACAAGTGGCGTTGGAAAGGATGCCCTTGACCTCGATAAGCACTCTGACTTTTCATTAAAGATGTTGATTCGTCTTATGTCCTTGGCCGATACGAACAAGCACGCTCATCGTTATCAGTGCGGGACCATGGCCAGGTTGCGTCCGTTTGATGCTCGGATGCAACAAAAATTAGCCCAGAACCTCGTGCTCTGACAGGTGGCCTGAGAACAACACAACACGTTGAATTACAAACACACTTTAACATTCGTGAAAATCTGAATAAATTACCTCGTACACAGGCCCTGTGAGTTTACGCATTGTTTTCTGAAACCATCTGTATATAGGGATCATACACACAGGCTGGGTGACTGCACAAATGGCTCAATATACCACGTGTACTCCAGAAGGCTTAGGACATTTATCTGCATGTGCATTCATAATCATAGCCCACTCATAACGTTGTTCTGGTTTCTGAGCTTGTGCATTTTAGAAGCTGATTTTTGAAGCCGAATATTTTAGGCATGGAGCAGATTCATGGTTGGCTGCACGCACCGGCTAGACGGGGAGCGGGGGGGTCGTCCACGCTCCCTAGTGGATCACGCGGACGGTCTTCAGTGCAAGCCTCAGCTGCAGCCGTTTGTTCCCACCTCCGCTGCTTTTTTCTGTCCTGCCCACAATGGGAATCTTGCAGACATAAGCATCAATAACCACTCTTCACTTTGGGGTTTAGCGACCAAGGGGAATGTCCAACAGCAGATGGTGGGATTCTACTCGAGCACATCAATGGCACTGTGTGAGTCTACAGCCAGATTTTGGGATACTGTTAGGGCAGATCTTGGAGGTCATGTGTCCCTGTGCAGCTGCTGCGGATATGTTGGAGGACAAAAAGCGTTGGCAAGCGAGGTGCGGTTGTGGCATCAATGGCTTTGTCCATGATGACGTCTAGTTGGTGATGTATTCAGAGGTGGCAGTCAAGTCCTAGACATGACGATCGATATGAATTACGTTCACTCTCGAGGTTGTTACCCGTCGCAAGTGCCTCACATTGTCACAGCCACGTGTATTGTTCTGGTGCCTTATGCGTTAAATTGTTGGATGGAGCGTGGAGACGATATGAGACCGTTTTTAAATGGCATTGCACCACAATTTACACGGTTGAACCTTTTAAAATAAGCAGTCGTCTTTCATTGAACTATTGCCAACATGCAAATGTTGCAACAGATTTCTACTCGTGCGCGTGATGGGACATGGCTGCTAGAGGTTGAGCGCAGATTTAACCGCACACAGCACGCGAGGTGACACGAGCAAACGCCACGTGGGTGCATGCGCAGCACACGTGTGTGTGCTGCGCATGCACGTGTGTACCACATGCTTACCCCACGTGCATCGTCATGTTTGCCGTGCGTGCACGTCAGTGGGCTGGCTAGTGACGTGCAATGATTCTCTTTGCTATTTATACAAAACGGTCGTGTGTGTATGTGTAACATAACCAAGTACAAAGGGAGCGACGTTATTAATACATACGTTTATTTACAATTGCTTATCCGAATGATTTATTGAACGCTGATTGTTAACGAAACTGGAATTGTTGGTGTCGTGTGCAATAAAGATGAATATTCACGTTTCTTCACGTGGAATTATTGTGCATTTTATCCGTTTAAAAGGTTGTGTAGTTAATTTTATACGTGCGTGCATCTAATGTAATACAACTTAGATAATACTAATTGACATTCAATAAAGATTGTAAAATGTTGTCTTTTAAAAGAGAAACTCAAACATTTTGCCTGATAAGTTATTTGACGTATTGTTTATATTGGCATATTCTGCACGGAACATGCTTTGTTGTCATTACCAGTTGTACGTTGTATGATGTCAACAGAACCTCTAATCCTCAACAGCCATGCTCATTCCACTACTGGATAAAGGCCTCCCCAAACCATCACATCTCACGATCCTGTGATGTAATCTGGCTCGTACTCGTAATTGAGCTGATTTCATTGCTCCATCTCCTCGGATAATGTTCCGTTCCGCTTCTGTTGCTCCATCACTGATATAGATAGATATATCCTTTATTGTCATTGTAACCAGTACAACGAAATTTAAAGTGCTCACCAGTCAGTGCATCATTCATACATTTTAATAAATACAACAATAAATATAAAATAAAAAATAATAATTACATTTTATATCTAAAAACTGCCCAAGTATACCCACATACCCAAATAAAAGTACATTTTGTCATTGCACATCCCTATTTTACAGTCAATTGTAAACAGTATTAATTAATTAGAAGTATTGAGTGTGGTAATTGCTGTAGGATAAAAGCTGTGTTTGAATCTGTTTGTCCTTGTTTTGACTGATCTGAATCGTCTGCCTGATGGCAACAGCTCAAACAGAGAGTGTCCAGGGTGAGAAGAATCCTTTAAAATGTTCTGTGCTTTTTTGATGCAACGGGAGCTGTGTAGTTCTTCCAGTGTGGGGAGAGGGCAGCTGGTGATTTTTTGGGCCGTGTTGATGACCCTCTGCAGCGCTTTCCTCTGAGCCACTGTGCAGCTGGTGTACCATACACAGATGCAGTATGTAAGAATGCTCTCGATGGAGGCTCGGTAGAAGGACATCAGCAGTTTCTGTGTGATGTTATTCTTCCTGAGTATTCTCAGGAAGTAAAGTCTCTGCTGGGCCTTTTTCAGTAGCTCAGGGGTGTTGGCGCTCCAGGTCAGGCCCTCCCCAATGTGGACTCCCAGGAAGCGGAAGTCTGCCACCCTCTCCACACAGTCCCCGTTGATGGTTAGTGGTGGAGTGTCCGTTTTCTTTCTCCTGTAGTCTATTATGAGCTCCTTGGTCTTTGCGGTGTTAAGGAGCAGGTTGTTGCCCCTGCACCATGCTGTCAGCCGCTCCACCTCGTCCCTGTAGGCAGACTCATCCCCATAATAAAGGTTTTTTGGGTTAGATCGCGTTTATTTATAAATGTGTCGTAACCCTCCACCACCCGACACGGCCAATCACCAAAAAAAGTGTCACGTTGACAAAAGACAAATAATTCACTACTTCAGCCCACCGGTGTGTTGAAGAGTTAATCCACATTTACAGTTTGAGTACGACGTTTCACTGGTAAATACTTCCAGCATCATCGGGCAATTCGCCAGAATGGTAAAGCCCTCGCTTGCTCCCGGTTTTATATAGAGCAGCAGGGTGACGTCATCACTTAACTCATCAGGTGCAGTGATTAGAGGCGGAGGGGGGGGGGTAATGTAATTATATAATCGATTAGTAATCAGTCATTGGTTATGATTAGTAATGAGTTGTAGATTAGTAATTCTTTAAATCAAAATGTAATGTGTATTATTTAATAATACGCTTCCAGGCCGCACTAAGCCGGTAGCTGTCAGAGCGATTAAAGTTATTCTTGTTCCTCTCAATTTCAATGGATTCTCTAATTAGTCTTTGCCAGTAATAATTAGTTTTACACACCACTGCAACATTGTCAAAATCAATTAAGTGTCCTTGTTGACAAGCATGTTCTGCCACTGCCGACAGTTGTGTTTGAGATAATTTAATATTCCTCTGATGTTCTTTTAGTCTTACGCTGATGTTACGTCCCGTCTGCCCAATGTAGCAGCTGCCACATGAACAATTAATCCGATATACACCTTCTGTTGATAGTTTAGGTAATGCGTCTTTAGTGCAAGATACTAGTTTTTGAATTTTGTGTACTGTACCAAATCTTACTGTAATGTTTTGCTTTTGCAAAACGCGGGCTAATTTGTCAGTTACTCCTGAGATATATGGAATTTTTATTGTTTTAACAATCTGGTCGCTTTCAGTAGTATTGCTTTGCGATCGTGATTTGGCATTCAGTGCTCTGTTAATTTGAGCATTATTGTAGCCATTCTGTCGTAGTGCGTCTTTAACGTGTTTAATCTCTCTCACTAGACTCTCACCATCTGACACTGTTTTCGCCCAATGTACGAGCGTCTTGATAAGAGAGGATTTTTGAGCTGGATGATGATGTGATTCTGCATTCAGATAGGCATCAGTGTGCGTTTGCTTTCTGTAAACGCTGTGTGTTATTTTACCGTTTAGGCCATGTCCAAGCAAAATATCTAGGAATGGGAGTGTGTTATTCACCTCCATTTCCATGGTGAACTGGATGGCCGGGTTTTGTGCATTGAGATGATTTAGAAAATCATTAAGTGTATCTTTACCATGTGGCCAGACAACCAAAGTGTCATCCACATACCTAAACCAAAAGGATGGTTTTAATGTGCTCGAGGCAAGTGCTCTTATTTCAAAGTTTTCCATGTACAAATTTGCTATAGCAGGGGATAAAGGAGAACCCATTGCTGCTCCTTCCTTTTGTTTAAAGAAATCCCCTCTCCATAAGAAGTAAGTGTTATTTAAACAATGGCCAGCAAGTTTCGGAATATCTTTTTGTAAACCGGTATTCTTTACTAGTGTATCAAGTAATTTAAGCGATTCGTCCACTGGAACCTTAGTGAATAGAGAAATCACATCAAAACTTACCAGAATATCATCAGGAGTAAGTTTAATATCTTTAATCACATTCACAAGATGTTCTGAATTTTTTATGAATGAAGATGTCTTACCGATGTAGGGCTGTATTTGTTTGGTTATATATTTTGCTAATTGATATGTGGCAGAGCCAATTGTACTGACTATGGGTCGTAATGGGATGCCGATTTTATGAATCTTTGGTAGCCCATAGAGTCTAGGTGGTTTTGAGGCCCTTGGCTTAATTAGGTATTGCTCATTTTTAGGGATTAATGAATTTGCAATTATTGCAGTGGTCTTACGTTCTAAAGTGTTAGTTGGATCTCGTTTAATTTTAATGTAGGTACTTTCCTCTAGTAAATTTCTAATTTTATTATCATAATCGGCTCGTGACATTACTACAGTAGTGCGGCCTTTATCAGCTGCTAGGATTTGGATATCCTTATTTACACGCAGCTCTCTTAAGGCTTTTGCCTCGTTAGAGCTAATATTTACTTTTGGAACTTTGCTATTCTCAATTATTTTAGCAACCTCATGTCTAGTCATCTCTGCCTCATTATGTGGAAGGAGTCTAAAATACCAAACGCAGTTAAAATAACACATCACATAAAGTCTTCTAAAGCTAACCAAATACTACACAAAGCTAGCGAATTATTATTAATAGAGAGAATACAGCACAATAGGAGTGAATTATCTTACATTTCGGAATCGCTAAAGCAGTTACACTTAGATATAAGTAATAGTGTATCTATGCATTACTGGAATATAATCGATAACATAACACAACAATCGGCTGATAATGTGTTTAAACTAACAAAAACTAACCAAATTAATAAATTTTCTAGACTACATAATAAACAAATCCCTACTGAAAACCAAAAATGTAAAAACAAAACTGTACTGAACTTGACCAACACTGTATTAACCAGTGACATGGTCTCTATCCTTTCTAAAGGCCTTAACTTTGCCATTACCCCAAGCACAATTCCAGTGGATGAGATAATTGCTGAGGTAGAATCAGCAGTTAGACTCCTTCCACATAATGAGGCAGAGATGACTAGACATGAGGTTGCTAAAATAATTGAGAATAGCAAAGTTCCAAAAGTAAATATTAGCTCTAACGAGGCAAAAGCCTTAAGAGAGCTGCGTGTAAATAAGGATATCCAAATCCTAGCAGCTGATAAAGGCCGCACTACTGTAGTAATGTCACGAGCCGATTATGATAATAAAATTAGAAATTTACTAGAGGAAAGTACCTACATTAAAATTAAACGAGATCCAACTAACACTTTAGAACGTAAGACCACTGCAATAATTGCAAATTCATTAATCCCTAAAAATGAGCAATACCTAATTAAGCCAAGGGCCTCAAAACCACCTAGACTCTATGGGCTACCAAAGATTCATAAAATCGGCATCCCATTACGACCCATAGTCAGTACAATTGGCTCTGCCACATATCAATTAGCAAAATATATAACCAAACAAATACAGCCCTACATCGGTAAGACATCTTCATTCATAAAAAAAAAATTCAGAACATCTTGTGAATGTGATTAAAGATATTAAACTTACTCCTGATGATATTCTGGTAAGTTTTGATGTGATTTCTCTATTCACTAAGGTTCCAGTGGACGAATCGCTTAAATTACTTGATACACTAGTAAAGAATACCGGTTTACAAAAAGATATTCCGAAACTTGCTGGCCATTGTTTAAATAACACTTACTTCTTATGGAGAGGGGATTTCTTTAAACAAAAGGAAGGAGCAGCAATGGGTTCTCCTTTATCCCCTGCTATAGCAAATTTGTACATGGAAAACTTTGAAATAAGAGCACTTGCCTCGAGCACATTAAAACCATCCTTTTGGTTTAGGTATGTGGATGACACTTTGGTTGTCTGGCCACATGGTAAAGATACACTTAATGATTTTCTAAATCATCTCAATGCACAAAACCCGGCCATCCAGTTCACCATGGAAATGGAGGTGAATAACACACTCCCATTCCTAGATATTTTGCTTGGACATGGCCTAAACGGTAAAATAACACACAGCGTTTACAGAAAGCAAACGCACACTGATGCCTATCTGAATGCAGAATCACATCATCATCCAGCTCAAAAATCCTCTCTTATCAAGACGCTCGTACATCGGGCGAAAACAGTGTCAGATGGTGAGAGTCTAGTGAGAGAGATTAAACACGTTAAAGACGCACTACGACAGAATGGCTACAATAATGCTCAAATTAACAGAGCACTGAATGCCAAATCACGATCGCAAAGCAATACTACTGAAAGCGACCAGATTGTTAAAACAATAAAAATTCCATATATCTCAGGAGTAACTGACAAATTAGCCCGCGTTTTGCAAAAGCAAAACATTACAGTAAGATTTGGTACAGTACACAAAATTCAAAAACTAGTATCTTGCACTAAAGACGCATTACCTAAACTATCAACAGAAGGTGTATATCGGATTAATTGTTCATGTGGCAGCTGCTACATTGGGCAGACGGGACGTAACATCAGCGTAAGACTAAAAGAACATCAGAGGAATATTAAATTATCTCAAACACAACTGTCGGCAGTGGCAGAACATGCTTGTCAACAAGGACACTTAATTGATTTTGACAATGTTGCAGTGGTGTGTAAAACTAATTATTACTGGCAAAGACTAATTAGAGAATCCATTGAAATTGAGAGGAACAAGAATAACTTTAATCGCTCTGACAGCTACCGGCTTAGTGCGGCCTGGAAGCGTATTATTAAATAATACACATTACATTTTGATTTAAAGAATTACTAATCTACAACTCATTACTAATCATAACCAATGACTGATTACTAATCGATTATATAATTACATTACCCCCCCCCTCCGCCTCTAATCACTGCACCTGATGAGTTAAGTGATGACGTCACCCTGCTGCTCTATATAAAACCGGGAGCAAGCGAGGGCTTTACCATTCTGGCGAATTGCCCGATGATGCTGGAAGTATTTACCAGCGAAACGTCGTACTCAAACTGTAAATGTGGATTAACTCTTCAACACACCGGTGGGCTGAAGTAGTGAATTATTTGTCTTTTGTCAACGTGACACTTTTTTGGTGATTGGCCGTGTCGGGTGGTGGAGGGTTACGACACATTTATAAATAAACGCGATCTAACCCAAAAAACCTTTATTATGAATAATATTGGTCGCGAAAGCCTACGTGTTAAACAGACTCATCCCCCCCAGAGATGAGCCCCACCACTGTGGTGTCATCAGCAAACTTCACAATGGTGTTGCTATGGTGGATGGGGGCACAGTCATGTGTGTAGAGGGAGTAGAGCAGGGGGCTCAGTACACAGCCCTGGGGGGAGCCAGTACTGAGGCTCAGGGCTGTGAATGTATGACGGCCCACTCTGACCCTCTGTCTGCGGCCCGAGAGGAAGCTATGTATCCACATGCAGGTGGAATGTGGAAGCCCCAGGTCGCCCAGTTTTACCACCAATTTGTGTGGGAGGATGGTGTTAAACGCAGAACTGTAATCCACGAAGAGCATCTGCACATAGCTCCCCTGCTGCTCCAGGTGTGACAGTGCAGCATGCAGTGCTGTGGCCACGGCGTCCTCCGTGGATCGGTTCGCTCTGTAGGCAAACTGGTGGGGGTCAAGGCTTCGGGGCAATGTTGCAATGATGTGACTCCGGACCAGTTTTTCAAAGCACTTCATCACCACTGGCGTCAGTGCTACTGGCCGGTAGTCGTTGAGGCTGGAAATTTGGGGTTTTTTCGGCAGGCGGAGTATCCAGAGACAGGTTGAATATCTTTGTGAAGACTCCAGCCAGCTCGTCAGCACAGTCCCTCAGCACACGTCCCGGGACGCCATCAGGTCCCGCAGCCTTCCTCGGGTTGACGGCCCGCAGCGTGCGCCTCACCTGATGCTCCTCTACTGTGAGGTTCGGTGATGCTGTCCCTGGTGGTGTCACCTCAAAGCGGGCAAAGAAGAGGTTCGACTCCTCTGCCAGAGCGGTGTCACCATCTGCAGCTCCGAGGCTGGCCCTGTAGTTGGTGAGGTGCTGAACTCCCTGCCACACCTGCCTGCTGTCGTTACTGTCCAGGCGTTCCTCAATCCTCCTCCTGTAGTCTGCTTTGGCCTCACGGATGCCTCTCTTCAGGTTAGCTCGGGCTGTACTGTAGAGAGGCTTTATCTCGGGAATTGAAGGCGATGTTCCTCTCCTTCAGCAGCTGCTGGACCTCCCAGGTCATCCAGGGCTTCTGGTTGGGGTAGACCTGAATGCGTTTGTCCACAGTGACAGTGTATATGCAGTTTTTAATGTAGCACAATACACTATCTGTGAACACCTCCAGGTCCTGATGTTCGAAGACGCCCCAGTTGGTTCTATCAAAGCAGTCCTGCAGCTGCTGGGTGGCACCCTCAGGCCAGGTGGCGACAGTTTTTGTGATGGTAGGAGCCGTTTTCTTGATGGGGGCGTATGCAGGGATCAAAAGCAGGGACAAATGGTCAGACTGGCCCAGGTGTGGTAGTGGTCTAGCCCTGGAGCCTAGTTTGATGTTGGTGTAGACCTTGTCCAGAGTCTTAGTTCCCCTAGTAGCACACTTAACATGCTGGTGGAATTTAGGGAGTGCTGCCTTTAAGTCTGCATGGTTGAAATCCCCTGCTATAATCTACACAGCGTCAGGATACTTGCTCTGCTGAATGCTAATGCTGCCATGTAAAAATCCAATAGCTGAGTTAGCATTAGCATCCGGTGGGATGTAAACAGCAGTTATCATGACCACAGTAAACTCTCTTGGTAGGTAAATGGGCCTGCATTTAACAGTCACATACAAATCTGGTAAGCAGTGGCTGTCTACAGTCACTGTGTTAGTACACCAGCTGTTATTCACGTACACACAGAGCCCCCCTCCTCTGCTCTTACCGGAGTCTACTGTTCTGTCATGGCGCTGTGCTGTATAGCCTGCTAGCTCAATAGCAGAGTCCGGGATGGATGAATGAAGCCAGGTTTCTGTGAAAAGCAGAATGCAGCTGTCCTTCACTACATTGTTCGCTGTAGTCTGTAGCCTCAGTTCATCCATTTTGTTCGCGAGGTGTCTGGCATTCGTGAGAAATAGGCTGGGTAGCGGTGGTTTGAGTGGCTGCCTCTGTAGCCTGGCTAGCGCACCGGCCCTGCAGCCTCGCTTCTGCCTTCTCTCTCTACGCCGCCTTCGCCTCATCCCCGCTGGGATGATAATCCACGGAGAGCCGGGGCTCCTCGCTAACTCCACCGGAATCTTGTGAAGACGGAGAAACTCGCTTGTAACACTCCTTTCGTAACATAGTCCGATCTTAAGGAGATCGTGCCGGCTAAAGGTGTTACTCGCCCGACAAAATGTACACAAAACAAGACAATGCGTACATAAACAACCATACAAGGCACCGACCGGGTAGACACTGAGCTGCTGAAACTGTGTGCGCCGCCATCTCTCACTGCTCTTGACCACTGGTCTCCATCCCTTCTGACAACGTGTCCTGCACAAGTCCACCTACGATATGTCCACAGTTTGGATTAGGCCTAGGCAAGGTAAAAGGTAAAAACAACAAGCCTACCATTACCCTACCTTTTACATTACCACAATACAATCACTCTACCCTTACCTTTCAGCAAGGTAAGGTAAAAGGTCAAAAGCAACAAGCCTACCTTTACCCTACCTTTTACCCTTACCCCATACAAATTACCCGATTACAGGGTAATTACTGGGGTACTACACATGAAAAAGGTTTATAACAGGTAATTGCTAGGAAGAGCGCTTTATTCATATAGAATACTCTCGATTCCACTTTTAAATGGAGGCCATGGACTGCACCACGGAGCTTTTCACAAGCAGTAAGCAAGGTATTTACCAGGTTTTTTTTCCTTTTACCTTTACCCTACCCTTTATCTTACCCCTTGGCATGTCGACTAGTTTACCCTTTTACCCGGTAAAAAACGGTAAATTACCTTACCTTGCCGAGGCTTAGTTTGGATTATGTCTTTGACCTCCGTATTGGCTCAAATCTACGTGTTCCTCAATAAACTAATTCATATTAAAAGTAAATTCATAAAACGTTTCTGGCACATTGCGTTTTGGGAATATTCCTGTAAGGAAAAGGCACTGTCCACTTAGCAATACATGGGGCAACGGAGTGGCGAGATGTTGGCTACCTCGCCTGGTATGCAGGAGGTCTTGGGTTCGATCCCAACCCTGACGCGTGTATATCGCACCTCCGATTAACACGGTTCGCTACGTACAGTGTGAAAGAAGTTCAACATCTATACTTAGAGTTTGCATGTTCTCCCCGTGGTCACATGGATTTTTCTCCAGGTTCCCAAGTTTTTTCCATCCACATTTAAAAACATGTGTTTAGAGTATTTGGCCGCTATAAATAAAACATCGAAATGAGTTTTGGCATGGTACATAAAATACAAAAAGTTAGATTTGGTACTAAAGATTAATTACCGAAGCTATCAATAAGAGGTGTGTACCGGATTAATTGCTCCTGTGGCCAGGGCTATGTTGGTCAGACGGGACGAATGATTAACATAAGACGAAAATAACAAAAAAGAAAATATTAAATACCTACAAACACAACTGTTGTCAGTTGCAGAACATGCGTGCCAACAAGAACATTCAATTGATTTTGAGAATGACGTTTTGTGTAAAACTATTACTGGTCAAGTCTAATTCGAGAATCTATTAAAATTGAGAGAATTACAAATAAATTTAACCATTCTGATAGCTACAGGCTCAGAGCCGCTTGGAAGCGTAGTATTAAGTATTGCACTTTAATTGCATGCCTTTTCAAGTTATCATTTGATAATTAACTGTGACTAACCCAACCGATAATTATCGTTTAGGTACTGCATAGTCTCAGGCTAGCACAGTCTGTTGTAATTTTCATAATCACAATCCCTACGTGTTAAATTGGCTGCTATAAATTTCCACGTGATAAGCCAACTTCGTTGAGCTATCGTTCTGAGAAGTGCGTATGTTTGAACTTCTTTCGCACAGTACGTAGCCAACTGTGCTAATCGGAGGTGCTCATCTAAGTAGAATATGGAGTACATTTTTATGAAACGTATGTAACAAAAGTTGAATTTCGTGTGGGTTTTTTTAGTGATAGGAGGAAATCGGAGAACCAGCAGGAAACCCATGCAGAACAGGGGGAGAGAACTTACACACTCCACACAGAAAGGCACCCGAGTCGAACATCTAACCCAGGCCCTTCTCGCTGTGAGGCATGAGCGTTAGCCACCGTCGCCCGTGACTCTCAAAAGGCGACTCGCGTGTAAACCATACCGAGTGACACTGACACGGTACGAGTGTGCGCTACGTGGGCTCTCTCGCTCGAGTCGGCGCGGGTTCCGCTCGGGTCGGCGCGGGTTCCAGCCGGGCCGCCCTTGCTCAGAGTGGCGGTCCGAGCGGCGAGATCCCGCAGCCTCCTCCCCTCCGCGCCGCGTCCTTCAAGGCGCGTTTCTTCTGCTTCCCACGGCACGGTGACCCCTCCTGTCACCCACTCGCGCTGCTCCCCAGCCAGCCGGCCTCTACTCCCCGGCGCCTGCCTGCTCTGCCCACCCGGCCCCAGAAGGCGACTGTGGCTCTCAACGCAGCTCGAAGACTCAAGGCTACAGAGCAGCGCGTATCATCATCATCATCGCACGCGTCTTGAGTATTTTTTTGTTAATTTCTCTAACATGTACGTGCCCACGTTCGTGTTCTTGCCACTGGGTGAGTGCGACTCTGCTCGGCGTCAGTGTTGTTATTGTTGATGGAGCCGATGGCTCCGGGTCTGTGCCCTCACCTTGGTAGGATTCACTCACTGCTCCGCTGCCCGTGTTGAGGACTCGGTCTCTAGCAAACACCGACTGTTTCGTCTCCCGCTCCCACTCACACACCTACTTATTCTTACACTCACTCAACACACTGCAGGTCACAACAACACACCCACTCACACACACCTACTTACTCTTACACTCACTCACCACACTACAGGTCACAACAACACACCCACTCACACTCACTTACTTACTCTTACACTCACTCACCACACTGCAGGTCACAACAACACACCGACTCACACACACCTACTTACTCTTACATTCATTCACTCACTCACCACACCGCAGATCACAACAACACACTCACCCACGCACACCTACTTACACTCACCCACACACACCTGCTTACTCTAGCACCCACTCACCACACCGCAGGCCATAGCGCTTCTCTTTCTGCTTCTTTCCTCCACTGTGGAATTCCCTTCCACCATCGAATTCTTTCTCAAGCTGTCATGATAATAATAACAACAATTATTTTCACCTTGCTCAATTAAAGAAACGCGTTTCACTCGTATCTATTTCAACTTTTATAATAGTTACGTCTGTGGTTGGCCACTTGATGTGTTTTAGACCGTTGGGCTTGTGATCTCTGTGTTTAACAAATGTTCAAATGGCATCGAGAGCGCTGTCAACTCGACACATTTAATAACACCGTGGCTTTACAACGAGCGTACAGAACGGACGACGTTTTGGGCATTGGCCCTTCTTCACAGCACGTAGGCGTGCGCCTGCATGACGTTTCCAAATGAGACCACACGGAACGCGTGGCGCTGTGCCGTTGGCTGTGCTTGGTGCACCACTGCAAGCGCAGCAGCAGCACCACGTATTTTATTTTAGCGAGGGCTGTTCTAAAAAATGTTGTTTAACGGGTAACCCTGGGGTGGGCGCCGCGGTGGCAAGTTGTGAACTGCCTCGCCTGGTGCACTGGAGGATCATGGGTTCGATACCGACCCCGACGAAGCCTGTATATTTGGAGTTTGCGTGTCTCTCTCCCCGTGATCGCGTGCATTTTTCTGCGGGTCCTCCGGTTTTTCCCTCCACATTTAGAATCGTGTCTTTTAGAGTATTTGGCTACGATACATTTCCACACGATGATAAGCCACTTCATTGGGATATCATTTGTGATAGCCAGGTCGCTTCTGAAAAATAGCTATATAGCTCAGTGGGCCTTACCTGGTAAAATAACAAAAATAGTTTAGTTTAAAATAACAGGAGGCAATTATTGTTAAATTCAGTAAACGAAAAACATTTTTCAAGAGCCGCAATGAATGTGAATACGAGACGGTGGTCCTTTATAAACAACGTAACGAAGCGGTCCTTAAAGAGCCGCACGTGGATCCAGAGCCTTGCGGTAATCGAATGTAAACAACGGCCACCGGTTTGCCGCACGTAGAGCATCATGATTTATAGACTGTATAATGATTTACAGACTGCATCATAATTTATAGACTGTATAATGATTTACAGACTGCATCATGATGTATAGACTGTATAATGATTTACAGACTGTATCATGATTTATAGACTGTATAATGAGTTATAGACTGTATGATTTATAGACTAAATCATGATTTATAGACTGTATCATGATTTATCGGCTGTATAATGAGTTATAGACTATATATGTCGGGCAGTGAAATTAGCATTTCACCTCTTTTAACTGAGAAACGAAAGCAGCTGCCACAGCGGTTAGCGCTGGGTAGCGGCGAGCGCGCTCCACTGAAGCAGCTCAGAAGACGCCGGTTCGACTCCCATCTCCCGGCGCGGCAGTTGGAACGAGGGGGGCAATTTTATGAAATGTTCACCTTCAGCGCCTCTGTCCACCCAGTGGCAGTACAATAATAATTGGTACTCCACAGTCGATCGGCAGGTCGCGTGTGGTGGGGTGAAGTGTGGGTACCGCCCACCTCTTCCAAGACGTCAGGCCAACGTGGAAGAGTAGTCTGAATACCATCGAGAGGTGCCCTTCCGCCAGCAGTGTTGAGAGCAAGCTCTTTCTGGGTTGCGCCTTTTACCTGTCTGTACGTTCTCGCGTACCTGTCAATCAGTGCATTCGAATCTAAAATTACACTGGAAATGAACGCCGCTTCCTGACTTTCGAAACCGGATTGTGTAAAACGGTTACCGGTTTTTCTGATTGTCGGTTAACAACCTTAATTTTAAACCATTCTGAGGGTAGGGAATGTCCGCTGGGACGCTGATTATTTTTAAACACAGTTGCTGAGCACAGGACCAGAGACCCAAAACGCCAGGCGGCCAGAAACGAACAGCACTCTCAGGTTTCGAATAGATAACAGTCAACACTTAGCTTGGGGAAAAGAGACGACGGGAGGGAATTCCCAAGTGGACGAGAGCGAGGCGAGAAGCAGAAAGAGAAGGAAGGTGACCGGCGGTGTGGTGAGTGGGTGGGCGCCAGTGTCATTGTGTGTGTTTGTAAATAGGTCGACTCAGCCTCAAATGAGTACCTGGTAAGGTGTGTAAACATCGGCACTAGGGAGACAAATACGTCCAGGCATGATACTGGCCACCCACCCCCTCGTGTGCCGTGCCGGCCTTCATAGGTGCTCGCTAACAGCACTTGCCTCAAAAGGCTGTTTAGGCTATGCGGGGGATCTTTGTGGTTTTTTGTGACTGAGTAATGGGTGACTGAGCGAGTGGTTGACTGAGTGTTGTTGTGAGCTGCAGTGTGTGCGGTGGTGGTGGTGGTGGTTGAACACAGCGTGGAGTCTGGTGAACCGTCGAGTCGTCAACATGGGTGGAGGAAGCCTCGCGAGTGAACCTCACGGGAACGGTAGCCGTGGGAACATCGATTGGTATTAATTTGTTCCTCGGTACATCGTCTGTGCTCTCTACTGTGCTGTTCCACTGTGGAAGCTCCACAACTCATTCGCCTTGTGCCTCGTGCCGGTGCGGCAGTCGGATATTGATCGCAATGGATGGGGTGGTAGTGTTGTTGTTGTGATTGTCTCAGATCGAATCTTGTGTCCACGGTGTCTGTGGAAGGACGCACCGCCCGGTGACTTTGTAACTGGATCCGAGTCGTCGTGATCTGGCCAGGTCCAGGCACCGCTGCCTCACGGTGCGACAGACCCGGGGGAGTTGAAGCAGGTTAAGAGCTCTGGGGGAGGTGAAGCAGATTGAGAGCCCTGGGGGAGATGAAGCAGATTGAGAGCCCTGGGGGAGGTGAGGCAGATTGAGATCCCTGGGGGAGGTGAGGCAGTTTGAGAGCCCTGGGGGAGGTGAAGCAGATTGAGAGCCCTAGGGGAGGTGAAGCAGGTTGAGAGCCCTGGCGGAGGTGAGGGAATTTGAGAATCCTGGGGGAGGTGAGGCAGTTTGAGAGCCCTGGGGGAGGTGTAGCAGGTTGACAGCCCTGGGGGAGGTGAAGCAGGTTGAGAGCCCTGGGGGAGATGAAGCAGGTTGAGAGCCCTGGGGGAGGTGAGGCAGATTGAGATCCCTGGGGGAGGTGAGGCAGTTTGAGAGCCCTGGGGGAGGTGAGGCAATTTGAGAGCCCTGGGGGAGGTGAAACACGTTGAGAGCCCTGGGGGAGGTGAGGGAGTTTGAGAGTCCTGGGGGAGGTGAGGCAGTTTGAGAGCCCTCGGGGAGGTGAAGCAGGTTGAGAGCCCTGGGGGAGGTGAAGCAGGTTGAGACCCTGGGGGATGTGAGGCAGGTTCAGAGTCCTGGGGGAGGTGAAGCAGGTTGAGATCCCTGGGGGAGGTGAAGCAGGTTGAGATCCCTGGGGGAGGTGAAGCGGATTGAGATCCCTGGGGGAGGTGAAGCAGGTTGAGAGCCCTGGGGGAGGTGAAGCAGGTTGAGAACCCTGGGGGAGGTGAAGCAGATTGAGAGCCTTGCGAGAGGTGAAGCAGTTTGAGAGCCCTGCGGAGCTAGAGCAGTTTGGGAGCCTTGGGGGAGGTGAGGCAGATTGAGAGCCCTGGGGAGGTGAGGCAGTTTGAGAGCCTTGGGGGAGGTGAGGCAGATTGAGAGCCCTGGGGAGGTGAAGCAGATTGAGAGCCTTGGGGGAGGTGAGGCAGATTGAGAGCCCTGGGGAGGTGAGGCAGTTTGAGAGCCTTGGGGGAGGTGAGGCAGTTTGAGAACCCTGTGGGAGGTGAAGCAGATTGAGAGCCCTGGGGAGGTGAAGCAGATTGAGAGCCTTGGGGGAGGTGAGGCAGTTTGAGAACCCTGTGGGAGGTGAAGCAGATTGAGAGCCCTGGGGGAGGTGAAGTAGATTGAAATCCCTGGAGGAGGTGAGGCAGTTTGAGAGCCCTGTGGGAGGTGAAGCAGATTGAGAGCCCTGGGGGAGGTGAAGCAGATTGAGAGCCCTGGGGGAGGTGAAGCAGATTGAGACCCCTGGGGGAGGTGAAGCAGGTTGAGAGGCGTGGGGGAGGTGACGCAGTTTCAGGGCCCTGGGGGAGGTAAGGCAGTTTGAGAGCCCTGGGGAAGGTGAATCAGATTGAGAGCCCTGGGGGAGGTGAAGTATATTGAGATCCCTAGGGGAGGTGAATCAGATTGAGAGCCCTGGAGGAGGTGAAGTAGATTGAAATCCCTGGAGGAGGTGAGGCAGTTTGAGAGCCCTGTGGGAGGTGAAGCAGATTGAGAGCCCTGGGGGAGGTGAAGCAGATTGAGAGCCCTGGGGGAGGTGAAGCAGATTGAGACCCCTGGGGGAGGTGAAGCAGGTTGAGAGGCATGGGGGAGGTGAGGCAGTATCAGGGCCCTGGGGGAGGTAAGGCAGTTTGAGAGCCCTGGGGAAGGTGAATCAGATTGAGAGCCCTGGGGGAGGTGAAGTAGATTGAGATCCCTGGGGGAGGTGAGGCAGTTTGAGAGCCCTGGGGGAGGTGAGGCAGTTTGAGAGCCCTGGGGGAGGTGAAGCACGTTGAGAGCCCTGGGGGAGGTGAG